TTCAGGGGCTCAGCACGGGAGGCGGGACTGGAACCGGGTCTGGGCAGTGCTGAGTCCCGCTCTCAGCGGCCATGCGGCAGGCCTGCCCTTGTAGGAGGCACCACCTTGCTTTCTCTGCTTTGCTGAACCACCCACAATGCTCTGGCTGGTCCACACAGCACCAGCCCCACAGTGGGGGAAGAGGAGGGGGAACCCCGAATCCAAGCACGTCTCACTATCTGGCTGCCATGAAGGGCAGTTACCTGCAGGGAGAGCCAAGGTGCCCAGAGCAGGCTCACAGTGGGGACGATGCGCCCAGGCCTCTGGGCATGTGTGGCCAGCTGTGATTTCTCCAGCTGCCCCAGGCAGTGGGTGGAGGCTGGCAGCCAGGAAGAACCGGGAGGGACCCCACATGACTGACTCAACCCAGAAATGCATGGGTGGGGCCCTGTTTGACGGAGCTAGGCTGGACGGCACCCTCTCTGTGGGTATGGGCTGGGAGGGAGGCCTGGGGCCGGGCTGAGCTTGGCACTGCATGAGCAGGGAGGGCAGGGGTGGCGTCTATTGTAGCCTCTCCTCAGGGAGCTGGGCTCTGGGCAGAGCCTCTTAAGAACAAGTGCAGGAGACAGGGCCTGATGCGGGGAGACAGGAAGGCCTTCAGTGCTTGGCAATCTCACCTCCAGCCTCTGAGCCACGTGAGTGACACGTCTGAGGACCCCAGCAGGCCCAGGCCCGGCACACAGCTGTTTCCGTGCCCCCCAGGACACAAGGGCACACCCGACCTGTGCTGGTTCTGGGGCAGCCCTGGAGGAGGCTCTGCAGGCTCAGGAGCCTAGCTCAATCAGGGTAGAGGCATGGGCATGTGAGGACAGGAGGGGTCCAGGGCCAGCGCCCGGACAGCTGAGGGCCACCCAGAGGCTGCTGTCCTCACTCTAGGGTCTGCAGGGTGGTTCCTGGGGCAGCCATGTTCTTGGGCCCAAACCCAGAAAAGGCCGGCCTGTGAGCAGGGAGATCTGGACTTCTGAACTGAGCCCGTCTGAGCAGGCCACACCCCGAGTCAGCGCACCCCTGAGGCTGGCCGACGGAGCAGAGACGAGCCCACCTCACCGCACCCCAACCACAGTAGCCTGGCACGCAGTGGCGCCCCGGCAGTGTGTGGTCTGGAAGGACGAGGCCACGAGGCCCCGCGACACTCACGGCGCAGCCGTCCACCAGGGCGCGGATGTAGGGACTGTTGTCGTAGGACATCTCCTCGTCGTTGGAGCCCAGGAAGCGGATGGCCTTGTCGTAGCTGCCCGTGGTGGCGTCCTGCCAGGCCACCGACTGGTAGCAGTTGTAGGTGACGTTCTGGTGGGCGGACGCACTCAGCAGCCGCAGGAAGGTCATCTGCACCACGCCCACGGGGTTGCCCTCAGAGTCCACGTAGGAGAGCTGGCAGAAGGGAGGCGGGCTCAGTGGGGCAGAGCTCTGGAAAACAGCGCCCACAGAGCCCAGACCCCACCCCGGCTGCCTCCTCTGAGGAGCAGCCCAGAAGCACGGGGCTCCCCAGCTCTTGGAGCAGCTCCGGGGTTTGTGGGAGAGTGAGTCACACCTCCTTCCTGCAGGAGTTTACAGGCCCACCCACTCTTGGCCCAGTGGTCCCTGCCTATCTTGCAGGGTTTAGCTCAGGTGCTGCCTCCTCCAGGAAGCATGCCTGGCCTTGATATTCTTGCCCCTGAGCCTCAGTGGGCCTCCCTGGCCTTGGGGGCTGAGCATCCGCTTTCCCGTCGGACTTTGAGTTCGGCGAGGGCCCATGCCGACTCCCCAGGCTGCCACAGTGCGGCAGGATGCGGGTTTGCTGCATGGCGAGTGCAGCCCGTGGTCCAGGGGCCAGGCCCATCTGCAGCGCCACGGCACCTGCTCCTCCTTCAGTCCCCCAGGCCCTCCTCCCCACACCCCGGGCCCGGGCCATCTTCAAGCCCCTTCGCCTCCTCCCAGATGGCAAGAAGTCCTTCAGCATGTGCAGCCTTGAGACTGCCCCTGCATCCCCGACCTGCAGAAGGCCTGCACCCCTATCACTGGGCTGGGGGCCTGGAGCCCACAGGGGTGTGGGCCAGAGAGCAGGGAAAGGTCCTGGGGTGAGAGGTCAGAGGTCTCCAGGGCCTGCTACAGCTGGGTCCTGGGCCCCTGCACAGGATCCTCTGCCTGGAACTTGGCACATGCGGCGAAAGGCCTGTCACGGCCCAGGCCACTGCCCAGGGGGCCACCTCTATCCCGGAGGCTGGCCTAGCCCTGCTCTGTGCCCCGGCCCTCACTGCCTGGACACCAGCACTGCAGGCCTGCATCGCGGGCACCTCGAGTCTGCCATCCTGTCCCCTAGGCCTGGGCCACAGCCCCTCCCCAGATCGCACTGCCCCCACCTCTCGCCGACCTCCATGACGTGGGGTGACAGCTGGAAATGTGTGCTCTGACTTTCTCACGGGGTTGGGGGTGGGGGCTGGGTCTCTTTGGAGCCTGAGAACTGTCCCAGAGGGGAGAAGGCAGGGCCCAGTGCAGGGGGTGGCCCGCAGCCCCCCAGCTGGCCCCATAGGCTCTGAGGCTGCCAAAGGCAGGCACTCACTAGAGAATGTAAATGCACAGACCTCCTGCCCAGTGCCCAGATGGAACGGCCCCGCCAGGGCCTCGGGCAGGGCAAGGCGCTTGGCTGGTGCGGAAGCGCAGCCTGAGGTAGGGTCAGGGCTGTGCAGACAGCAGAGGGGCCACCACAAAGGTGCTCTCTACCAGAGACGCACTCGTGGGGAGCGACCTCCCTGCAGCCCGCCCTGCCCAGGCCACGGTGGTGGCGGGCTGTGGGGCTGGGACTTGCAGGCATTCCCCACTCTCGGCAGCACACCCAGCAGGCATCGTGGCAGCTTCCCCAGCATCTCCAGCTGAGCCTCACCCGGGTGCAGGGGCTGCCGCGGGGTACCTGCCCCTCCCAGGGAGCCTGGGTGTCTGCAAACTCGAGTTTCCTGACACCTTGACGCCGAGAGGGGGCACAGCGTTTCTCGGCCCTGAAATGAAGCTGTGACTGTCCCTGCCCCACAGGCCCCGGGGGCCCTCAGGACAGGCCCGGTGGGGACAGGCTGGCCCAGGGCCCCTGCTCCTTGCTCCAGGGAGGAGGAACACGCTGGGTCCCACAGTCGTCGGCATCCTTAGGTGGGGCCTTGAGGAAGAAAACAATACCAACCACAGTCCGGGCCATCAGCGCTCCTGGCGGGAAACTGACTGACTGCACAAGGACACATGCCACGGAGACGGGTGGCCGGCACAGAAGGACCTGACACCGCGTGCATGGCCCAGGTTCCGGGGCAGCCCTGCCCTCCTATGGGAAGGGGTCTCTGGCGAGCACGTGACTGCCGGCCCAGGCGAAATGCCAGTTTCTTCGAAGAGCCCCTGGTCTCCTGGTCTACCTCTTTTCCACTTAGGCTGCCCCTCAGGAGCTGGAATGGGGCGGTGGGAACACCCAGCACGCAGCCGCCACCCTCCATCTCTCACCACCTTGTGTGAGGTGGGACGAGTGTCAGAGGTGGCCACTCGGGTGACACCTGTGTGCTCCATGACTTTCTCACAGGGGATCTCGTTGGAGCCTGAGAGCTGTCACGGAGGGGAGAAGGCAGGGCCTAGTGCGGGGCGTGGCCCCCCAGACCCCCAGCTCCTTGCCCACCTGCCTCTCTGCCCTGGTCACCACCCCCAACCCCGAGGGCTTCATTCAGGTCCTTCTGTGTCCAGCGGCTCCGTTCCAAAGAGCACAGACGAGGCAGAGGAGAGGGGAGAGAAACGAGGACGCCGGGGTCCCCAGTGAGACACAGAAAAGGAACCCTCCAGCACATGGCCAGGCTGTGTGTTGCGAAAGGAGCCAGCAGGACTTGGAGACGGTGACAAGGGCACGAGAAGGACCAGCCAGTGAGCCTCGAAGTGAGGGGACGCGGCTGGCAGAGTGAGCGGGGAAAGCCACCGTCCGCTGAGTCTGCGGGGACACATGCGGCCTCCACCGAGCAGAGGGGCCAGAGTTGGTGCTGGGCAGGGGTGCGGTGGCCAGCTGTGGATGGCCAGCGGAGAGCCATGGGGCCCGAGATGAGGGCCAATGGCCAAGGACAAAGGACCCTTCTAGGGCCATGCAGCCTGGGGTCACTTAGACCCAAAAGGTGGACTAGGACAGTCTGGGCTCCCCAGGCACCTGGAGCCCACTGGGGTTCCGGAAGCTCGCTCCTTTAATCAGCAAGAAGGGCTCAGAACTTTGCATCTACTCCTGGTCAGCCCCAGGGGCAGTGTTTGGGGAACTCGCCAGAGTGGGGGCGGCACAGGCCTCGTATCAGAGGCAACGGCTCTCGCTGGACACCGGCCAGAGAATCACGCCGTCTAGGCCTGGAGGGCTGCCACCTGCTTCTCACTTCACGGGTGGATCGTATGAGATTTACTCCCATGAAGTTACGGCGTGGACTGACAGCCACATGGATGCAAGTGACGCTGTGGGCAGGGGTGGCTGGTATACCCCTCAGCCTGAGCAGCCGGAGGGCAGAGGGCGGGTCCAGGAGAACGAGTAGCCCTCCTGCTCCCGGGGTCTCCAGCCTCCAGACACGGGCAGCTGGGGCTGTGGGAGCCCTCAGTAGGCAGGTAACCATCCCACTGCACCCAGGCTGAAACGGGGCGGCAGGAGGCGCCGGAGGCAGACTCCACACCTATGCTGAGTCTTGCCATTGGTGACTTGGAGCACTTGTCGACAGCGCAGGAGCGGGGGCGTGGCACCCGTGGCTGTCAGTGCCATGCAGAGCCGTGAGCCAGGCTGTGCCGCAAGCAGGCAGTGCCCGGGGCGGCCACTTACCAAGGCACCTCGCTTGTACTGACTATACCAGGTGGAAGGCCGCTCTTTGGGCCAGCGGGCCATTTTACTCTGCAAGATAGGAGACGGGCCGGTTTAAAGGGCGACCGCACAGCAAGCGGGGGCGCCTTACCAGTTTACCGCGCTTGAATTCACTGAACCAGGAGCCCGGGTTCTCTTTGGGCCAAGAAGTGATTCTGGCCTGCACACGGAGCAGGGCAGGTGCAGAGGGAGAGAAACAGAAACGCAAGGGTTACTTCTGCTGCCTGCAGAGACACGCACCCCTTCCCCGGCCCCGCGTGGCCCATGCTCTCCCCACAGAGCCAGGAGAGGACCCTTCCAGGTGCCCTTGGCCCTCCCTGAGAGACTGAGGGCCATGACAGCTCCGTGCCATCCAGGCACCAGGCACCTGCTCCAGAGCTTTGGAGGCAGGGCACGCCTGCTTTTTCTCTATGCACACGTGGGGCCTGTGACGCGGTGCTCGCACTGAGCTCCAGCTGAAGGGCTGCTGGGGGTGGGCAGGAGTGAGTGACTCTGTAAGCTCATGAACGTGCTCCTGATAACAAGATCAACATGACTGCAGGGCCAGAGTCCTGGACACTCCTCACCTGTCGCGGCTGCGGGCTGCGGCGCCTCTGCACCCTCACCTGGCTGCTGCCACCTCTCAACCACTGTGTGTGAGGGTTGTGTCTGGGGAATGTGCTGCATATGGTATGTGGTATGGTGTGTGCACTGTGTATTTACGGTGTGGTTTGTGGTGAAGTGTATGTATGGAAGTGTATACTTGGTGTGCATATGTGCAGTGCACGTGTGGGGTAGGGTCTTCTCTGCGGACTCTGAACCACCAGCTATTTGTCGTTGGCAAGAGAATAAGACCTGATCCCCCAAAGCCTTCCTGAAGTTGGAGCACAGGCCGACACGCTTTCACATGGGGACCACCTCTACCCTGTTACTGAGAGGAGGTCCCACTGGGGTTGTTTCCTATAGAGGCTGGGGTCAAATCAGCAAAGGACAGACCTCAGCGCTGCTGCAGATGGATGACAAATGGATGGAGAATGGGTGGATAACTGACGAATAGAGAGACGAGTAGATGGACGATGGGTGGATGGATGGATGATGGGTAGACAGACAGATGGCCAGCTGGATGATGAATAACGGATGGATAGATTGTTGGATAGATGATGGATGGTGGAGGGATGATGGATGGACAGATGGATGATGGATGGATAGTTAGATGAATGATGAGTGGATAGATGGATGACGGATGTATGATGGGTAGGTGATGGATGATGGATATATGATGGATGGATGGTAGATGGATGGACAATTGGTGGATGATGAGTAGATGATGAATAAAATGATGGATGGTTAATAGGTGGATGATGGATAGATGGATATGGATGGATGGATGATGGTTGGACAGATGATGGATGATAGATGGATAATTGGTGGATGATGGATAGATAATGGATGATTAATGGATGGATGATGGACGGGTGATTAGATGAATGATGGATGGATGATGGATAGATGGATAATTGGTGGATGATAGATGATGGATGGTAGATGATGGGTGGATGATGGATGGATAATGAATGAACGCATGGATGGATAATTGATGAATGATGGATGAATAGTTGGGTGGATGGATGATGGATGAATGAGGGATGGGTGGATGATGGAAGGATGAATGATAGATGATAGATGGGTAATTGGATGATGGGTAGATGATGGATGATAGATGACAGATGATAGATGGTTAATGAGTGGATAATGGGTGGATGATGGGTGGATGATGGATGGATGGATGATGAACGGATGCATGAATGAATAATTGATGAATGATAGATGGATGGATGGATGAATGGATGGATAGATGGCGAATGGATGGATAATGGAAGATGGATAGATAAACAGATGAGTGGAGTCCTTTCTTGAGGAGGGAGACCTACTCCTAGGCTCCCAAAGTGGGAACCAGAGGAGCCCCAGGTGCCTAGAAACTACTTCATTTCAGGTGTAGAATGAAAGCACCACAGGGCCAGCCTGTCCTCAGCCTGGGCAGACCCAGGACCCATGGGCCCTCTGCTTAGGACTCAGCCCAAGTCACTCCTAGTAAGAAAAGAGAAATCTGAATCCTCCCCCCATCTGATGGAGTGTGCAAAGGGGTGCCAGGCATGCTCCCTGGCCCACCCTCACCCACATCCCCCCCCCAGATTTCACATGTGCTGCAGTGTCTTGCTCAGATAATGTGAGGGGGGCTCCTTCTGGGCCTGATGGGCCACGTGGCCAGGCACAGGTTTCACCCTGACCCTTTTAAACCCGCTCTAGCACCAAGGGCACTGTGGCCCAGTGCAACCAGGAGATGCTCCCTGCCCTTGGCTGAGTGGCCGTGGCCTGAGCCTGAGGCCCCTGCAGTGGACGCATGGCTGATCCATGTGCACAGAGAGGAAGAGTGAGGAGCCGGGGCACTCAGAAACCAGCCTTGGCCCCCCAGGAAACCTCTGCACCATGGGAGTCTGTCCTGCAGGTCCTCAGCAGTGAGACCATCTGTAGATGGGGGCAGCAAGAGGGACAGAGGATAGGAAAGGGTGTTTGTGTAGCTGGGTCCCATCCTGGGCCCCGGCCAGGTGGCAAACGGGCAGAGAAAGCCCAATGCTGGGTCCTCCTATCGAAGCCCCTGAGGTGCTGAGGCAACCAGGAGCCTGGGCCAGGACTCAGGCACTGGCAGGTCTGAAGCTACACAGCAAATGAGCCCAGCCTGCAGAAACCACTGGGGTTGTGTGGCCACAGCCACCCAGGGACAGTCAGGACACACATCCACACGCAGTACAAAGGACACAGGCTGGCTCCTCGGTCATCCTTAGAGACCAGGCAGACCTCAGCACCTCACCTGTCCTGGGCCACAGCGCCTCCTGCCTCAGATGCCTGCTTGAAAGACAACAGCACACGCCCCCTGTCCACACACACCCCGTCCACACATGCCTCCCCTATCCACACATGCCCCATCCATGCACACCCCCTGTCCACGCCCCTCCCATCCACACATGCCCCATCCATGCATGACCCTGTCCACGCACACTCCCCTGTCCACATACGGCCCCAGTCCACACACGGCCCCTGTCCACACACGCTTCCCCCCATCCACACATGCCCCCTGTCCACACACACACCCCGTCCACACACACCCCCTGTCCACACACGGCCCCCATCCACACACGCCCCATCCACACACACCCCGTGTCCATACACACACCCTGTCCACACACATCCCCGTCCACACACACTCGTTCACACGTAGAGCTGAGGCCCTGAGAGGCCACTGCTATTTAGGTGACAGTCCACGTAATCACCCTGACTCAGAATCTAGCTACTACTCCAAAATCTGTACGTGAGACTTCAAAATAATGGGTGGCGCTTGGGGGCAAGTCCCACGAAAATAAGACAGTGGGAAGAATCCAGGCAAACAGCATCTTCTAGATGTCTTTGGGTCACTTTCTCACATGTGCCACGGAAGTGCTCCAGGTCAAAGGTTGGTGTCCAGTGAGAACAACCAAGTGGCTTTACGAGCCAGTGCTGACGCCCCAGCACAGGGTGGGGGACAGGGAGGAGGCCCCTTTGACCTCCCACCACCCAGGCTGCACAGCGCCCATCACTGCTACGCAGCGTAAACGTGCTGGCAGAGCAAGCAGGCTCCGCTACAGAACTGAGCGACTTTTGCCTTTCAGTCGTAAAGCTGTCTACACAGGCAACGGCTGAGCCTGGCCCTCTGCAAAGCTGTCTACACAGGCAACGGCTGAGCCTGGCCCGCTGCAAAGCTGTCTACACAGGCAACAGCTGAGCCTGGCCCTCTGCAAAGCTGTCTACACAGGCAACAGCTGAGCCTG